TGTCAGGGCGGCGCGCAGTGGGAGGGTGTTGGCCGCTCCCCCCACTCGTCTGTCACAGCCTTAACCCCCCACCTCCCTGGGTATGTGGGTCTGCCTGTGCCTGCTGGAGGGAGGATTTACAGATTCCCCTGTTCTCTCCTTTGAAGGGGCTGCAGAGCTGTCCCCTCATCTCCTTACTAATGGGGGAGGGGGACCTACAGATATGCCCCCTAAGTTTCCTCAGTCTGGAAACACATAGGTTTCTCATGCATCCCTGTCCCTACTCCTCTGTGGGACAGAAAGGTAAGTCACACAGGTGAGCCCTTCATGTCCTGACACCGGGAGAAAGGGGACTGTGGATTTGATGCCAAGTCTTGTCCCTGATAGGGACCATGACACCCCGTCCAAAATTGTATCTCCGGGAAGAGGAAAGGTGCTCACAGGGAATGAGAAGGAAGACTGAGAGATGAATAAGCCTGTGACTTTTTCATTGGTAGTAGAAACAGCTGCTCAGAGTCTTATTCCTTGGGAGGAGAGAAGGGGTTATAGTTTCTGGGCTCCTGTTCTCTTTATGCTGAGAGAGGTTCATTCTCCACAGCACTTAGAATATCTTCTTCGGAGCCTGAAGGAGTAAGGAATGGGCCACTCCCAGAAAAACTTGCTGTATCCTGCATTCATATTGTCACAGTTGCACATGCCCAGGAGAAGCATTTCACACTGTGAATCAGATCTCAGGTCAAGTCTACAGTAGCAGAGAAACATCAATGCAAGATACACAACTCCAGCTATGTGAGTTGCAGAGCTAGTACAGATGTCAACATGTAGACAACTACATGATTAACCCAATAAACCTAGGCTGATACAGAGGCAGTAGCACAGAGGGTGAGGAGGTCAGGCAGGAACCAATACAAGCATGTGGACTTCCAGCAGAGGCAGTGGGGGGCAGGGAAGGGTCGCTTGCTCTCCTCCACCCTGTGCTGCTGCTTGCTGGACACCCTGGCCTATCTTGTTTGGTCCAGCCCTATCAATTAACCCGTTAAACCAGGCATGTCCAAAGTCCGGCCCGCGGGCCAATTGCGGCCCGTGTTCCGGTTTAATACGGCCCCCCAGGTAATTTGGAAATATCTATCTTTTATGGCCCCCAACGAATCCATATGTATTGAGATGAATACATTGTAAAATCTCAGTTAATGTCAGTTGGTCTAAATCAGTTATAAAAACCCTTTCTCTGTTAGCAGTCAATGGAATTAATCCATCTTTCGAATACAATATACTCCCCTTATCGTGCTGACTTGCCAAGCTGTTGTGCTGGCACTGTAATATTGATGCATTAGGGCAAAACAAAGAACTACAGACCCAACTTGTATATTAGTAAAGTTTCATTCTCTAGTAGATTCTCTGCAGTCAGTTCAAACCCTTGAAGGACCATGACCACATTCACCTATAATTTTCCCTTGCTTTGATTCCTATACACCCTCTAGGTTCTATGTTGTAGACGAGGGATATCATCATGTAGATGACGACACGATTAACTGATAAGCCTGGGCTTATTGGTTAATCTTGTCAACTGCATACATTTCCTTCCCCCCACCCATTTGCTGCCCCTGTACCAGAGACAGTGGAGGGGAGAGTCAGGAACTAGTGCTAGCAGGAGCCAGCTTAAAAGATGGCTCCCCCCCCCCAGCACTGTCTCTGCAGTGCTGCCTCCCTCCCCCGCTACCTTCCCCTATCTAATTGAGTAGTCAATAAAATTCTGTCAACTACTTGATTAGTAAATTAACCTCCTTTTAACATCCCTAGTCTTGTCCTCTGCACTCAAACTAGGATCAAGCATTATCATTTGCAAATATATTTTATATGTAGTCTTGATTATTTTGTAATGAAATACAAAGTTTTATACTTTTTTCATATAAAAAAGGATAATTTTCCTTCTTCATGGTGCAAAAATTATCCTCTCGTTTCTTGTGAGAACATAAACCTTTTAGGTTTATATATTTAATATCCTTTCTGTGATAATACATTATTTTTGTAGTTTTATGGGGCCTCTTACATTTGACTTAGCTTAGGGATTGTAATGGTGGTGGTGGGGAGAGGATATTCTTTCTTGAGTATGGTAGTCAGATGCTCATCCCTCAATCCAGGAAAGTGTTCCTCTCTTGAGTCTAACACTTCTATTTCGGGAGCAAAGCTTCTGACAGATTTTGCTGGGTCCTGCTCCCAAAAAGGGCAGAATGGTAGAGTCTTGGGGGGAAGG